GTCTGGGTTACTTATTTGACTAATATTGCATGCCTACACTTCAATAGCTTATTTCAGATTGCCATGTTCCAAACTTAGCCCAAGTCTTATCAGTATCTCTTCAAGAAAAGTTCAGAAAACTTTAGGTGAAAACCCCCCCAAAACTTTAGGTGTATGGAGTCATTCATAAACTGAGGACAAGCAGATGGACTTTGGGTTCCCACGTAATTCTAGCTCCAATCCCGGAACAGTTAGTTCTTATGACATGGCCCTCCTGGATGCTTCCTTCAAGAAGATCACTGAAGATAAGGGTGCTACAGCACAGTGTGGTGAAGAAAGCAGTGCCCAGCTATCTATTGGAATAGTGTCTGGTGTCTTAAAGGCTTATATTTGAAGAAGCAGTGATCTAAGTGGGGAGTAAACTAAGTCCACATGGAAGACGCACACCAGCCTGTGTGATCCAAAGATGACAATAACAAAATCCAAATATGATGAAGGGAAAAGTATGAGTTTAAATTGTGAACACCCACTTTGCAGAAGGCTATGGAGGGTGGTGAGAACCGAAAATCCATCTACAAAGTATCGAGTCACGTGAAATCTCTGGCAGATTCCCTCTGGCTACTGGCAAGGGACCAGGCAGCTTTCCTATCAGACAGAGATTATTGTAAACTTGTTTATGGTGAACTGAGTCATGATATAATATGATACCTGGGCAGTTGACCTCTCTCTTGACCCAACCTGAATTTGCTCCAGGCTCAAATATTTAGCAATTGTTCTACAGAAATATCTTCTCTGGCTTTTTAAATATTGTTAGTGATCTTTTCTTTCTTACTTTTAATTCTTATCTCTATATTGTTATTGTTGTTTTCTTCTTTATATTTCATCTGTTTCTGTTTTTTATTGTTTTTGTTAGGTTTCTCAGTTTAAGCACAGGAGACAACTGGTGTAGTGATTTATTGGGAAAGGGGCGGGGGAGAGGAATTGGGAACCAATCAGTGAATGTGGGAGGGTGAGGGAACATTAGAACTGATTGTGAAAAAAAAAAAAAAGATGCAAAAACCCAAAACAAAACAAAACAAAAAAAGGAGAACTGATTGTGATGATGTATATACATATTTTAAAAAAATCATTTTATTGGGGGCTCTTACAGTTCTTATACCAATGAATGCACCAATTGTATCAGTCATATTTGTGCATATGTTGCCATCATCATTTTAAAAGAATTTTCTTTCTACTTGAGCCCTTGATACCAGCTCCTCCTCTTTTTACCCTCCCTCCCCTCCCCTTCTCACCCTTGTGACCCCTTTATAAATGATAAATTATTCTCATTTTCATGTCTTACACTATCGATGTCTCCCTTCACTCATGTTTCTGTTGTTCGTCCCCTGGTGGTGTGGGATTATATGTTGATCATTGCAATCGGTTCCCCTTTTCTCCCCCTTCTCAGCCCCACACCCTTCCAATTACTTTCATGGTATTGCTACTCCCATTGATATTTCTGAGAGGTTTCTCTGTCCTGAATTCCGAGTGTCTGGAGCTCTTATATGTACCAATGTACATGCTCCGGTCTAACTGAATTTGTAAGGTAGAACTGGGTCACGATAGTGGTGGAGAGGAAGCATTTTGAAGAACTAGAGGAATGTTGTGCGTTTCGTTGCTGCTATACTGCACCCTGGCTGGCTTGTCCCTTCCTTGTGACCCCTCTGTGAGGGGATGTCCAATTATACATGTCTTTTAAAAAGTGATTTAACTATGGAAGTGTATGATATGTGAATATTATATCAAGAAAACTACTAAAGAAAGGAAGAAAGAAGGAAAGAAAGAAAACTCAGACTTTATTTATGATTACCCAGGGTAAAGGAGGGAAAATTTTGCTTAGGGGATGTGGTAGTTATATAATCATTTGTCAATTTGAGGAGTAAGAATGTAGGGGTGGGGTCTAGTCTGTCAATCAGATCATAGCCAATGAAGCCTCTGTGTGGGCATGGCCTTCGCCAGAGAATTCGGGGAAATCCGGTATTTCCTTCTTGGAGGCAGGAGAGACTCACTCTCACTCTTCAGACCCTGGGAGACATAGCAACTGACAAGACACATGGAGCCACCCTGATGCAACCCTGGGTGCTGGAGAAGCTATGCAGAGACCCCTGCCAGCGCTGAGATGTTTCCAGTGCCACTGGATCCAAAGACTTTCTACCTACTGGCCTGTGATCTTCTACATTCGGCGTCATTGCAGGTGTTTCGTGAGTCTGAGGAGGACTTTATAGATTGGTATCTGACATATGGGCTAATATGGGACTTATGGACTTGATCTGGACTGGGCTGGGATGTTTTTTCAATGTTCAATTGCTCTTGTATATAAATCTCTTTCTTATACATGTCTGTCTGTCTATGTATTTGTTTCTCTAGTCTACCCAAACTAACACAGGGGACATTGAGCTTATGCTAATGGTGGTGTAACAATTTGGTGAGGGATATTAATAATGGTTATAAAACACAAAGAGTATATTCAATGGCACTGAATTATAAATGTACAAGTTGTTGAATTGGAGAATGTTTAGTTGTATAATTTTTGCCAAAACTGAAAAAAAAATCACACAAAAACAATGAGTACAAAGAAGAAGAAAATGTTCTAATGTTGATTGTGGTAAAATTTGTACAACTCTTCTTGATCTGATTGAACTATTGAATTTTATGATTCACGGATGAAGCGACAATAAAACTGTTAAAAAGGAAAACCAACCAACCAACCAGAAATGTCCTGAGGTATACCCTCACCCAGGTTTACCTGGTACGCACCCTCAATGATCTTGTTATATACCCTATGTGCCCAGCCCTATTGGTCGGGTGATTATGTGTTGGGCTAACTGCGGGGCCAAGAGTTCAAAACTACCAGCTCCTCTGTAGGAGAAAGATGAAGCACTCTATTCCTGTAATGAGTGACGGTCTTGGAAACCCACAGGAGCAGGTCTACCCTGGGTTGCGATGAGTTTGAGTGGACTCAATGGCAGTGAGTTTGGTTTTTGGTTTAGTGCACAATAAATTAGTTCATGTCTTCTTTTAATGTAGATAATAGCCTTATGAAACAGGAGGGCTTTTAATTTTTGTCTCATTTTCATCTTGCACTTCAACAAATGGAAATACAGAGACTACGTGACCTCATTAGGGTGTAACATCCAGTTGTAACATCCGGAAAGTGACATGCTAAAATTTCTCTGGGTTCCAAATTTGTGACCTTAATTATTTTGCAACTCTAAGAAATACCAAGAAAGCAGACTGAATGTGGAGTTTGGTTGATAGGATTTGTAATGATGATACCATTAAGAGAGGGTATGCGAAAGGAGAAGGGATTGTATGAAGTGGGTTGGCTTAGGCTACGAATTATGCACAAAGTCCTTTGCAACCCTGGTGGTGTAGTGTTTACCCATTGGGCTGTGATCTGCAAGGTTGGCAATTCAAAACCACCAACAGCTCCATGGGAGAAAGACTGGGTTTTCTACTCCCATAAACAGTAATTGTCTCAGAAACCGGCAGGGGGTCACTATGAGTCAGCATTGATGGCAGTAAGTTTGGTTTGATTTTATCTTTTAAAAATCTTTGTCTTGAAGAAGCACACCAGCCTATGCAACCACGAGGTGTCGAAGGGATCAGGTGTAAGGCATCATCAGAACAAAAAATCTTACCATAGTGAAT